GGAAGTGAGGAGGAGGGACAAGGAAGATGACTAGTTACGGAGGGTGAGGGTTGTTTTTTTGCCAAAAAAGCCCGGGTAGAGTGATCTGAATTATCTGGCACCCTCCTGAATGGAACCCCAGAGTACCTCCTGTGTGGAAGGGTCCCTGGATTTTCCCTAACACCCACCCTCTCCCCCTTCAGCCATGCTGATGGCAGAGAAGATAAGAACTTGGAGCCCATTTCTCACTGGAGAGGAAAACTTGTCATCCGGCTTTGCGGAGAAGGTTCCACCTTACGCTCGTAGTACATTATCTTTACTATGTGCTAGGATATCATATTTAAAAGGACCAAAAAAATGTAAAATACTTGAATGAGCTTGTATTATAACATTAATATTATTGAGAGAAAAAAAAAAAAAAAAGATTGTCACTGACTTTCACGGGCATGACTGAGACCCAGCCCATCTCCATCAACAAAGAAAGGCTGGAGTGTGTGCCCCTCCCTGGGTTATGAAAGCTAGAGAAGCGCAGGTCACAGAGACGTTCAGCAGTAAGTTGAATGTGGTGTGGGGCGAGAGTTGCAAGGTTCCCACTGCACAGGATCTCACTTGGTCTCACCAGAGTTGTCAACAGCTCCTAGGGAACGGGAAGTGTGATTCCAGAGGTTTGCTGGGTAAATGCAATTAAACGATTTTTGAAGAAAGGCGGAAACTGGTTTTTTGGGAGGTAAGGAAGCCGAGTCTCAGGGAAGTTGGGCGTTTTGCTGTCAGCCGCACATAGAGTGAGTAGACAGCCCACAATTAGCACCTGCCAGCGTGGACCAGGCACCGCCGGCGAACAAGGTCTAGGACCTTACGTGCTTACAGTGGGGCTACAAAACTGTTATTAAACTAAATGGAAATGACTTGTCAATATTAAGTCCTTCTATATTTATGTGATGCCCAATGTGTCTGTCTTTCCTCATGCTTTGCTAATCAGACCTCTCGCCCGAGTACTGGCTGTTGGGCTGGAGGCTGGAGGCCCGGGCTTAGCAGCAGGGAACTGCCTTCCTGGAGGTGGCAGCATAGTCTCTGCCAAGCCAGGGGAGTGGTCCCAGTGGGAATGGGCTCTGCCTTCCCGTGAGTGGGCAGGAGGCTGACCTGTGTCCAGACAGGGAGAAACCTTGTGGGTCACAGCAAGCTTTGGGACTGACGGGCATGTGCAGAGCTCATCTGGAAGGAGGGGGATGCCTCAGCCCCCCGCCTTTCCCATGAGTAGCAGGGCTACAGCTGTGGAAGTAGGACCCAGCCTTTTGACGCAGTGTGTGGTGGGCTGGAGATGGGAAGGGTTGTGTGTGCAGGTCGTGGGTAGTGCCCCTGCCACATACAGAGATCCCGGGCATCTCTTCTGGACCCCACCCAGGGACGGTACAACTTTACTATGGGAACAGACCCAGTAGTATATTGGGGCAATGGGAATGGTTCTTTGCTAATGCCTAAGATCCTTTAACAGGGCAGAAGCCATAATTGGGCAAACCTTACGGGCCAAGAATCTTTTGCACTTTATCTGATTTAATCTGCACCCTGTGAGGTAGGTGGCATTACCCACTTTGGCGAGTTAGGAAATGTGTATAAAGATCCGTAACTTGCCCAGGGTCACCCAACTAGTAGCTAAAGTGGCTAAGTCCCAGGTCTGCCACTCTAACCACCCACAGTGGCCTGTACCTTACCGTGGCCATTCTCACCCTGCTGCCCCTCTGAAATAGTCACTGCTGGCTTCCCTAACTGAGGACACTGGACACAAAGGCTGGGCTGCCAGATTGCAAGTCTGTGCTTGCAGCCTGAGGCCTGCTCTAAGGGAAGGCAGATGGCCTGCCTTTCCTTTCTGCAAAACCCCTGCCACCTGCTGCGTGCTGCCAGCCTGACTCACTGACTCCAGCTACCTCTGGGCCTCTGGCCCTTCTAGGACGGGCTTGTTTTCCAGGAAAGGGTTTGGAGATTAAGATAAGCCAGCCGCCTCCAGTTAAAGGCCCTGCTGCCTTTGAAAGGGCCGGGAAGCCTGCCAGTCCAGCTCCTTGGTTTGCTCGTTTCTCTCCGTAGCTGGGGCTGCCTTGCCTTTCATCTGTCCCTGCCTATCGTCGGGCATGAATACTGAGGCTCTTTGGAGACGGGCATAGGACTCCCTGCAGAGCGAGGCAAGGGATTTGTAAAACGGGTGCCCAAGCTCCCTCTGAGGGTCTGGCTCCCCCATGGCCCTGTCTGTTCTTCCTGGGGAAGCTGCTTCTGGCATTTAGGGAACGAAGAACTAGAAAACTGAACTGGCGTCCTTTCAACCTGCCGCCTCCTCCAGCCTGGGTAGAATCCAAAGCTCTGCCCTTCCTGAGCGGTGCTTGTTCCTGACTTACACGTAGATGGTTTTCTAAACCAAGTTCATTTTCTGAAACAGAGAATGAATAACTCACTCTACTACCTCCTCCCCTTCATGGCAGAATTTTTTCTTTTGTCCGTGTTTTCATGGCTGCTGGATTCTAAAATCAAGGTGCAAGATGCTTTGGGACTTACTAAAGTCGTG